CAGGTGCTGCCACACATACACAAACACACACACACACACAAACCCAGGAAACAAAACCCACCACCTCAGTAATAACCACCCCCACAACCACACAATAAATGTCAAATAAGCTAATAAGGGTGTGAAGATATTAAGACTATTATAGGAAAGGAAAAATGAATATAAGATGACTAACTGAAAGAAAAATGATTTTGAGAGGGTAGAGGAAAGAGGAATAATAAGAATAGGGAATACAAGCAAGGTCAAGAAAGAAAGAAAATAGAATTTACATTCTAATTTAAAAAAAGACCGGGGTAAGAAGGTGCAATGGAATAGGAAAAGGGAAGAGTATAGTAAGGACTTTAAAAACATTAAAAACAATAGTGAAAAAAATGGGAACCAAATTGGAGAAGATCCACCACAACAATATCAACAACAAATGAGCAAAGATTAATACCAGTGGAATGTGAATGAGAAGGAAAAAAAGAAAGAAAGCTTATGAGATATCTAGAGGAGGATGAGTGATTTTGAGAGGATAGAGGGAGAAGAAATGCTAAGAGTAAGGAATGAAAATCAGGCTAAGACAGGGAAAAAGTAAAATTTACAAGGAAAAAAAATAAAGGGCAGGAGGAAGGCAAAATGGAGTAGGACAGGGGAACAGTAAAATTTGAGATTTGAAATACAAAAATAGTGTAGATATAGGAATAAAATTGAAGAATGCAACAACAACCACTATATCAACAACCAATGAGAAAAGACTGGTAAAACTGGAGAGAGAATAATAGTGTTTTAAGAATGGGAAAAAGACTGTGAGATGACTAATGTCAAGAAAAAATGGTTTGTAGAGGGTAGAGAGGGGAGAAATAGTAAGAGTACAGAACAGAAACAAGTCATAGCAAGAGAAAAATCAAATTTAAAACAAAATTAAGAAGAGAAAGGAAGAAGGTAAAATGGAGTAAGAAAAAGGAGGAGCAAAATATGAGATTTGAAATAAACTAAAATTTAAAAAAACTTCCTTCAAGTGTTATAATAGGCACAAACTTGAAAGAAAAGAAATGAATGTTAAGAAGCTGTGCAGGAGAGAAAATAACACAAATAATGAAGATTGCGGTGGAATTTGTCTCTGTAGAATCCATTGTTTACCACTGTATTTTTTTTCTGGATCCACATCCTGGTGGTATATTCTAGCCTGGCCCTAGGCATCCTGTTTGAGACTACAAGCAATCCACAGTCTGTGGCTGTGTCCTTCAGATTTGGCTAATCCCCACTGTTCTACCCTCCTGGCTTTCCATCAGCTTAGGGTCCAGGAGTGGTTCCTTTGATGACCCAAGAAGACTGCAAATACCTTCTACACCTGCCTCCAAAGGGGAACTCTGTTGCAATCATGAGGGTGGGAACCCTGGGTCACCCCCCCGGGGGGGGCACTGTTCAGTCTTCAGGGAAGATGGTGGAAGTGTTTCCCCACCCTCTCACCACACATCTTGGTCTGTCCCAGATTCTTTGCTGTAATACATGGTTTCTGGTGAATTAGCCGTCCATTTCCTGTGAGGGGCCAATCTGGGTAAAAGGGGCAGCTCTTTCCTGCTTGACCACAGTTAGCAGCTCTGTCTAGGTATGGAGGCTGGGCACAGCCATGAACATGCTTTGTTGCATCTGTTTCTAACCTCTCTTCTTTGCTAGGTTCAGTGGATCAGGACCTGAGGAACAGTGTAGCTTATAGTGCCTGGTAGAAAGGGGCCTTTGGGAGCTTTTCCTTCTTTTCCTTTGGATATATGCCCAGCAGTGGGCTCCTGAGCCTGGTCTCACTGCAGAGCCTGCAGAGCCTGTAATCCTGTAGGTAGGGGTTGGGCACACCTGCCTATGAAGGGACCTGCCTGACTGGAGTGAATCTCAGGAGTTCAGCTCCTGGCCATCCAGACCCCAGCCTGCTGCTCTTGCAGGAGACCTGGATTCGAACCATACACTCTGCACAGTCTCCTGCTCACCAGCTGTGCTGAGTCAAGTCCTACAGTCCCTTCAGCATGACTCTACCATTCTCAATTCTTTGTTGGAAGAGCCACACCCACATGCTAGCACAGGGTCCTTTCTGAGACTCTAGTGTTGCTTCAGCTCCTCTTTTAAGAGAGTTTCCACCCTGGGTGGTGTGGCTCAGTGGATTGAGTGCCAGCCTGTGAACCAAAGGGTTGCTGGTCCGATTCCCAGTCAGGGCACATGCCTGGGTTGTGGGCCAGGTCCCCAATAGGGGGTGTGTGAGAGGCAGCCACACATTCATGTTTTCTCCTTCTCCCTCCCTTACCCTCTCTCTAAAAATAAATAAAATATTTAAAACAATGTTAAAAAGCTTCCGTGTGACCACCTCACACTTGCAGAACCAAGCTCTGAGAGGGCCTGTTCTACACACATTCCCCTCCCTGCAAAAGTACAAAGTCTCTCTCTCTCTGTCAGGGCTGCCCACAGCCTGCCAGAGTCTCTGACAGCATAAAGGATATCTCCGGGTGGCAGTGAATATAGTCCTCAGTGAAACTGTAATACCTGGTAGTGGCAGGGTACTCTCACCACTCCCTTCAGTGATTCTCAGCCTCAGGCATGCTCCCACCATTCTGTTTCTGCAGTCAGCACTGCCCTGGCCACCTCTCTCCAGCCCTAGAGCTGGAGGCTCATGAGCCAATTTGCAGCCTCCTCAGTCAGATTCTGTCCCATCTTCAGTTTCCATGGTGCCCGGGATCAGGGAGGCACTAGCCCCTTACTCGGGTACTTACTAGTATCTAAGTACTGCAGCCCCTGGATCCTAGCTCCTGGCAGTGGTGGGGTGCATGGCCATGCCCAGAATGGAGGGCACAGAGACAGGTCTGGACGCCGAGGTGCAGGGATTCCGGAGGCTTCTTCCTGAGGAGGATATTTTGAATTCCTCAAAGTGTCTCCCACCCCAAAGCTGTGTGGCTTCTGGCTGCTCCACTAGAAGAGCCGGGGCCTCCTGCTCCCAAATGCCCTGCAGGCAAGCCGGCTCTTGCCCACTCACGCACATGCCCTACACACTCATCCACATACACACTCACACTGGGTCTCACTCACTCTCAGCTGGATTTTTTAGTTGATTGCTCTGTGGTTTAGCTGCAAGACCAGTTCAGGTCTGGGAGCAAATGGCTGGAGCTTCTAGTTACTCTGTAGCCAGTTTGGATCCCCTGCATGACTCTTTAATGTGCTCTTGCACTTCCTCTCTCTTCATACCCACCCAGCAGTCATATGTGCCACTCTTTTTATCATCTATATACTTTTTTACTATCATTCCCTATATTTAGCTTGGTCCTTGCCAGTTCAATTTTCAAGACTGTGTTCAGTTATCATCTCTTTAGAAAGTCTTCTCTGACAACTCTCTCTCTCTTCCTCCCCTCCCCTCCAGGGGATACTCTTCTCACATATTCCCATACCACCCATAGTTACCATGGTATGCTCGTTTTCTTGTGTACTTGCCTTCTACCATAGATTGTGGGTTCCCTGAAGGCAGGCAATGTCTAACTTAGCTCACTAGTCTTTGATGCTTAATGGAGCAGCAAGTATACAATAGGCATTAAAGCTTATTGAATGTATAAAATGAGTTCCAATACATATTAATTACCCTTAGTCCATATTAGGAAATATCGAGTTCAAAATTTTCAATTTGTTTCAATTTGTTTTTACCATATCATATTGGTAGTTTGACATGAAAGTATCTTTACATTGGTATACCATATAAAGCTTGCTTCCAGAGATACAGGTGAGTGGCCTTATCTTTATCTTGTTGATTCTTGTCAGCCTTAGACAGAGTAGCATTTGTTTACCTAGCACCCAAAATTATATTCCTTAGGCTTGTGTGCTTGCAATATTGTGCAGAAATTCATATCAGACCATTTGGTCTATCTAAAGGCTTTTCTGCATTCTAGTTTGTCACCATTTTGCCTTCCAGGGTTCATCTGCATCATGGGGCTAGGAATGTCTGCCTTTCAGTTAATTAAATAGAAGCAAAGCATTTATGTAAAGCATCTGACACAGTGACACTCACAGAGTATATTTTTCCTAATAAGTTGTTGAGTGCAACCAGGGGAAGGTCTTATTTCTACTGAGCTGTGTGATACAAGGCCCCTTGCAAGTACTTTAAAAGCAACAACATGTAGTAGTATCTGTTAGACATCTTATCCAAATGCATTCTATTGAGAGCAGATATGTGCTTAGACTACATCTCCCACCTGTGTGAGGCCTGTGGCTAAGTTCACACCTATAAGATGTGGGTAGAAGTAGTTGGCTGTGGCTTCTATAAAGGCCCTTTTGAAAATAAGGATGTGATTGCTGGAGCTTCAACAACCATTTTAGCCCATGAGGTAAATCCATGGGTGGGAGCCAAGATGTAAAGACGATAACACAGAGAGTTTGGATCCCTGGGCTACCTAACACATTCTTTTATGACAGAGTTTTTAAAAGCCTAAAGGTTTAGAATATAAAAATTTTGGGGTTTCTATTACAGGTATGTGAACCCCATCAGCTCATCTGTTGATGTAGCAGGTATGGGGTGCTTACTGGGCTGTGCTCTAATTCCAGTATTTCTCATCCCTTCCAGAAGAGTCCTTGGAAACATCATGCCACCAGCTGGAGGCTGGATGGCCAGTGTAAGTAGGGGATAGCATTAGCCAAACAAAGGCGGGAAACTGGAAGCAGCCCCCCTTCCTGGGAGAAAGAAGAGCCAAACCTCGTACTCTTGTTTCCCTTCCATCTCTCACTGACTTTCGATACTGGTCTACGATCGCAGAGGGAGTCAGAGCCGCACTTGGACACCTCTCAGCCGGGCAGAACGAAGCCCGTGCCGGACCCTCACATCACTTGCGGCCCAGCCTGCCACTCTCTCACGCCCTGGTCTCCGCCTCTGCCCGGCCCACCAACCCCACAGTGACGGCGCCCTCTCCCTACCGCCCAGAGTCTCAGTCTGCGTCAAGGGCCGCTGCGGGCTATCATTGGCCGGCATGTGTCACGTGCAAGAGGGGCACGCAGCAATTGGGGCGGACGAGGGTGGTGGAGGAGCAGACTTTCTGCCCACCATGAAGGGTCTGCACACCGCGCTGTTGTGGGTCCAGTGGGTGAGACGGTAATGGGTGGTGGTACTGACAGTCCTGCAGAAGGCAGGCAGGGATCCTGCTGCCCCTGAGTTCAAAGTGCAGCTTCTGAAAGCCACGTCAGGCGGGGCCGGAGTCAGTGGAGCTGGGAACAACCTACTGCAGAGGCTGCAGCACCAACGGCTCCCGGGCGTCCTGATGTCCGGCTCCTATGCGGTGAGCGCTGGGGCCCCTTCGTTGGGGGCAGAGGGGGTTGCACGTTGGGCGGCTGCTGGTTCCGCACCACTCTGGACCGACTGGATCTCGAGAAGGTGAATGTCAGGATTCTCATGTGGAAGCTCCCAATTTTCTAATGCTGGCAACTAGTTAACAGTAAATCATTAAAATACTGGGGGATCCACAGGAGACCGTTGAGATTGATGGAGACCTGATTCTGCCCTCATTTGCAGTGTAACTTGACCGAGTCATCTCTCTATAGGACTTACGTTATGTGCTCATATTCTTGGGGGCAAAAAGGGCTTAGAGAATACAGTGGCTCTTGCCCTCCTGTAAAGGCTGCAGAGCATAAGCAGGTGTACAAGTCTCACTGTGACTTTTAAATGTCAAGGGGACTAGTGGATTAGGAGAGAAAATGTCTAGAAAGGATCCTGGAGGGAGAGGGAGATAATGAGAAAAAGGTGTGAAACACTGCTTTTGGGGAAGAGAAGCAGATGTTTCTAGATAGTTGTATATAAAGGGATTAAAGCAAACTAGCATTCACACATGTACGTACACATACTCATAATTTTACTTGGTCTTCACTTTCTGTATGAAAACAGTTGAGGCTCAGAAGATTTGGGTGACTTTCTGCAGTCAGAACTATTAAATGGAAAAACTGAAATTAAACCCAAGAGTGCAGGCTCCACACCCACCTGCTCATTGTGTTGTCTCTCAGGCTCCAGTCCAGTGTGTCCAAACCTCTTTGTGTAGAAGAATTCCACCTTGTGACTTTTAAAAGATACAGATCCCTAGCACCCGCCCCCCTTTCAGAAATGTGGATTCAGTATCTGGAACTGGGCTTGGGAATTTGCGTTTTAACCACTTTCCTTGGTGACTCCATTTTGGTGATCCAGAGAGCATTTTGAGAACTACTGTAGTCTTAATTTCCCACTTAGTCCACATGGGGCTTAGACTACATGGGGTTGTACCCAAGGGACTCAAAATTTCCCTTCCTGAGCAGGGATTCCATCTCCTCTGCCAGTCAGGTAAATGACCAAGCTTCAGGAGGAAATCCTTTATTGGGAGAAGCTGAGGCTTACCAGATAATACCTTGCACTGCTGAATACCTCTTCAGTTTGAGAAAGTGCTGACAATTTGCTTTGCGCTTTTGGTTTTTGTTTTTTTTGTTGTTGTTTTTTTGGGGGGGGGGTGAAGTGGGTAGATCTTTTTTCAATGATATTCTGACCTTCCTAAAAAAACAGATCAAGGCATTTATTTCAAAGTTAATGTTAAACAAGCTTTAAAACACCATAAAAACCACAATTCATCCGTAAATGCCACCAGTCTAACAGAATTATTTTTATGTTCTATTGTATTGTCCTATAAATATTAACCATCTCCTTTTTGTTAATTGTGTAGATCAGGGGTGTCAAACTCATTTTCACTGGGGGCCACATCAGCTTCTTGGTTGCTTTCAAATGGCTGAATGTAATTATAGGACTGTATAAATGTAACTACTCCTTAACTAGGGGCAAGGAGCTCGGTGCCACTGCTGGGTAGAAACAGGGTGCCCCGCCAGATAAAACAAGGTGGAGGGCTGGATTCCACCCAGGAGCCTTCTGTTTGTCACCTGTGGTGTAGATTGTTCAGTTTCACAAAAGTTAGAAAATTCTTCTGAGAGATGGGCTTGAACTTTAAATTCCAGTTGGAAATCTGAAAATTACCCTGAAGATAAATCTTAAATCATGATTCTATTAAAGGCATATCTGTTCATTTTTCCAAACTAAAAATGCTTTCAAGTCTGAAGACTTTTAGTTCTGAAATAAATGGCATAGTGGGTTTGAAACTGTATGCATTGAAATGTTTCTTTTCTAGTGGATTTATCTGTTCTTTCCCATATCACTTCAACCTCACTGAAACAAACATCTAATTTAGTTATTTAATTTACTTATATATTTCCTGTTGTAAAAAATATATAAATGAATTAAATATTTCTTTGCAAATAATAACGATCATTTAATACACTTTGTGTTACTGGAAAAATATATTTTATATGTATTTTAAAATATATATTAAATATGTATTTTATATATATATATTTTTCCTGTAGAGTCAACATGGAATAGAAGAAATAAAGTGGGCTTTGGTTTAAGGACGAACTGGTATTCTAATCCCTATTCCAACACTTTCTTGACCTTGGGCCAGTGACTTCCTCTCTCTCACTTTGCTTATATTTAAGATGGGGACAATGCCTCCAGAGTTTTATTAATATACCATGTGTTGTATAAAACTTTGATAGAGTAATAAGCATAACTATTTTTCTTTTGTTAGTTCTCTTTCTCCTTCACTCTCATTAAAGCATATTTGTGAGTTCCAGCCCTGCCATAATAATTCAGGGTTACTTTCATTTCCAAAAAAAGATGCAACTTTTTTGAGGACCTACTATGTGTTAAGCATTTTTAAAAGTCCATAAAGATAATTATCCAGCTTTTAAAAACATTTTTGAGAAATCTAAGAGCATAGACTGTGGTAGAACCTGGCCAACAGGATCTGTGTATGTTGTGGCTGCTTGTGAACAAATACACACGGACAACAGAAGTCCTGTGGAGAAAGGGATGGCATGGCCACTCTCTCAGAGAGAGAGAGGGCCAGAGGGCCAGAGAGACCAGTCCCTGCCTGGACACGCTTTTATTGCTCCTCTGGGTACATTATTACATTGAGGGTAGTCCTCATTTACTATGCACAGGTTCACTGAAGGGGATTACCTTTTACAGATAACAAGGAAAGAATGTTTGCTAATTACTTCAAAGAGAAGGATGTTGCAGACCAAGGGGAAAAGTGGTTGAACCAGTCACACTCCATACTTGGGAGGTTTAGCTCAGATTTTCGGAAGTTGCAGTAAGCCCTTGCTGCCTCAATTCAGGGTGAGGGAGTTTTAGCAAAAGCAAGTCTCATAGCAGGCTAGGTACAATGCAGGCCTGATTCCCTACGGAAAAACCTATCTGTGGGTGTGGTCCTGTGTGCCTACATGCACTCCACTGGTTTTCCATGTGAGGGCTAAGCTACATTTCCATGACACTCGAAAGGTTTCCCTACAATACACTACTTAGCTCGTTGTCATACTTTGCTCTATATGACTGAAATCATCCATTTGTTAATTCAGTAAATACTTATGAACACTTGTTAGTGCCAGGTATTATGTTAGACAAGGTATACCAGTGAAGACATGGTAATGACTAATTGTGATAAATGCTTGAACAATAAAACTGTAAAGTCTCTGAATGTTAACATGGTGAGGAAATGTGATTCACACTGAGTGTCATTTTAACAAAATATTTGTTAGGAAACTGTCTTAAAATTAGGTCTCAATTAAGATTCTGCACATAGGTTGTGTCAGAAAATGGGGAATTTCAGGAAAATAAATGATCACACTTAAAGATTTCCCAGGTCTGAAATACTGTTTATAGGTGATCCAAGAGATATAGCTGTCATTTCTTTCATTAAAATGTCAATGCTGTGATAGTCTTTTGGCTTAACTTCTAAAAAGTTATAGTCTTATTTTTTCTTTGAAACCATTCCCTTTCACAGCAATTGTAAGGGCCTCTAGTTTGGTAGAAAATTAAGTCCAAAAATCTTCCTATTTCTGTAAAATTTATTCATTTTAAGCCAATGGGAATTTTATTTTTTAAAAATATTTATTTATTTTTCTAACTTTTCTTTTAATTGTTGTTCAAGTACAGTTTTCTGTCTTTTACTCCCATCCCAACCCATCCCCACCTCCTTCCCATTTCCAATGCCCCCTAGTTTTTGTCCAGGTATCCTTTATACTTCTTCCTGTAAAGCCTTCCCCTTTTCTCCTGAAATTCCCTCCCTTCTGCCCTCTGGTCACTGTCAGCCTGTTCTCAATTTCAGCGTCTTTGGTTATATTTTGCTTGTTTATTTGTTTTGTTGTTTAGGATCCTGTCAAAGGTGACATCATATGGTATTTGTCTTTCACTGCCTGGCTTATTACACTTAACATAATGGTTTCCGGTTCCATCCATGCTGTCACAAAGGATAAGAGCTCCTTCTTTCTTTCTGCTGCATAGAATTCCATTGTGTAAATGTAGCAGAGTTTTTTCGATCCATTCATTTACTGATGGGTACCTACGTTGCTTCCAGCACTTGGCTATTTTAATTGCACTGCTGTGAACATTGGGGTGCACAGGTTCTTTCGGATTGGTGTTCCAGGGTTCTTAGGATAGAATCCTAGCAGTGCTATTGCTGGGTCAAAAGGAAGATCCATTTTTAGATTTCTGAGAAAATTCCATTCTCTTTTCCATACTGGTTGTACCAGTCTGCAATTCCACCAACAGTGCACTAGGATTCCCTTTTCTCTACAACCTCTCCAGCAATTGCTGTTTGTTGCTTTGTTTATGATGGCCATTCTGACCAGTGTGAAGTGGTATCTCACTGTGGTTTTAATTTGCATCTCTCTGTTAGCTACCCATACTGAGCATCTTTTCATGTGTCTCTGGATCCTCTGTATGTCCTCCTTGAGAAGTATCTGTTCAAGTCCTTTGCCCATTTTCTAATTGTCTTCTTAGAGTGGAGTCGTGTGAGTTCTTTGTGTATTTTGGAGATTAAACCCTTGTCTGAGGTCATTGGCAAATGTTTTCCCATATGGTTGGTTTTCCTTTCATTTTAATACTGTTTTCTTTATCCACGAAGAAGCTTTTTATTTTGATGAGATCCCACTTGTTTATTCTTTCCTTTATGTCCCTTGCTCTAGGGGATATATCAGTGAAAATATTGCTATGTAGAATATCTGAGATTTGCCTGCCTGTGTTCTCCTCTAGGACTTTAATGGTGTCACTGCTTATATTTAAACCTTTTATCCACCTTGAATTTATTTTTGTGAATGGTGTAAGTTGGTGTTTGAGTTTCATTTTTTCACATGTAGCTGTCCAGCTTTGCCAACCCCATTTGTTGAAGAGGCTATTTTTACTCCATTTTATGTTGCTGCCCCCTTTGTCAAA